TAAAGCAATTGGTTTTTGGACACATAAAGACCATGAGCAACTATTTCTCCTCTTTTCTTAAGCCAGATGTAAATAAACACTATACAAGCCTCCTACAGAGCCATGCAAAATAACATATCTCAGGATGGGCTTTTCTTCTTTCAAGCTGTCTATCTTATACATAAATGGTGCAATATTAAATAGCTATTATATATATTGTTTAACAGGGAATCAGATACATCTCTAGCTCTCAAGTCAAAAGGTACATCCAAGAATAAGTCTTTCCATTCCTGTGTAAAAGTTAACTATCCTACCATCAGTTTTGTCAGTCCTGATCTATATATTTTTTCATTTCTTTTTCATTTCAGCCAAAATTATTCTGTGTTTTTAAGACCCAATTTCACAGATAGCTTCAAAACATCTGAAGTGGCATTTTTAGATCATGAACTAGTTGCAGAATGTTTTGACCTACTTCTGTAGATGAACTCAATAAGTCTCAAAGGAAAATAAATGTTGTCTTCTATGAATCTTAATAATATCTATTTTGGAAGACACCCTTTATTTATTTTTTTACAGTATATATGTGGGTTTTTTTTTTTTAAGTCTGTATTTAAAAGTTATATAAATGAAAAGAGAAGATAGAAACTTCCTTTCTCTGAAACTCCTTGGACAACAAATATTTGAGTGCAAGGTGCAACTGTTATTCCAATACTTTCTCTATGTTTGTGTTACCACTTTGTGTTCTATTTGTGTTGCAGCTTGCCACATGCATAGTGCCTGTAATTTGCTTGGGATTTAGGGCCCAGAAGAAATACTAATTCATTATGTTGACAAGACATACTAGAATTATTTCATCTGTGATGAAATTCCTTGTACTCTTACTGTTTCTTCCTGATGTCCGATTAACTTAAAATGTCACTGAACATTTTTGCTTCCATCATGACTTGCATGGTTCTTCTGAGATCTTGGAGTGTTTTAATCATGTTTATACATTCTCCTTTTTCTCACCGTCTTGCTTTAAATTGATTTTCTTAATGAATGCATATAAGCTTGTAAGCAAATAGAGGGTGGCAGGGTAAATTGTGGGGTAGTCATTTCTTTTGTTGCCGTGCAATTCTGTTGGCTTCAATTCCTTGTTAACTTTGGTTCATGTAACCTTTTCTCTTACTCTGTGTGACTCACAGGCTACATAGAATTGATGGGGGAGTGATTTCAGACAATGACCTCATTTTTACACATATTAGTTCTCAAAAAGAGACAGCAATCAACCTGTGTCCTACAAATCGAAGAAAGCTGTGGGGTTTGGGTTTTTTTTTTTTTTTTTTTTTTTTTTTCTTTTCCTCTTTTACTGCATCATAGATATGACAAAAATTAAAAAGATATAATGCCAAAAGAGAATAATCTAATCTTCCAATACTGCCAGTGTGTTTTGCCTGTCAAATATGAAACCTTGAAATCTCATCGTGTGCCATTCTTTTAGTTCTCTTCTGTGTGCAACATAATCCAAAGTGAAATAAATTGACATGTAAACCATTTTTTTGTAAGAAAGTTTCTACTTATTTGCTTATGTGAAGTTAATCAGACATTGATTTGTTTGCAATGTTCAAGTCTTAGCTTTAGACACTAACAGAGAAACATTACTGTACTTGGAGGACATCTTAAAGGTTTACAGTGAAGATACTTTGAAGCTTAAGAAAGGAAGTAAATATTTTTCATATTTTAAAAATATTTAAGATGTTAATATGAATTAAACTAGTCCTTAGTTTTGGAAGTGGTCTGACTTATTGTAGTCTAAAGTGGCATCAGTATTAATAAACTATAACAGGAAGGAATTATCTGAATCTTTGAAATTTGATATTTAATTTTTATATGTGCCATAACTCGAGTATAGAATCATGAGTGCATTTCATACTTAATTTACTTAAAGAAAGAATAGATACCATGGTAAAAATAGTGATTTGTTGCATTATAATGATATTCATAAAAATATTTTTAAACGGTAGCGCTCTATTTTGTAGATAAAAAACTTCAAGAAGCTGTAGAATTATAAAAAGAATGACACCAATGATAGTAAATTATGTTGTGCAAGTCTGTAAGGATCAATTTTTTACAAGGAATAATTATAATAAGACACTGACAGAAGAGTAGAGTGTTCTGGATTTCTGAAGAAATAATTGATTGACTCAATGATAAATGAGCATGTGTTATGTCCTGTGAGTTGACACTGTCTCTGTTAAGGGTAAATTCTGTTAACATGTTCAGCTTTAATATCAAAGGTTATGTCTGCCAGAATTTCCTAACATCTGTGGAGGTTTAGTTTTTTAATAGAGAAAGAGGCTAGTGAGAAATTAGCATTCTTTTTGTTTTTCCTTTTACCATCTGATATCTTTCTATTGTTCTCTGTAGGCAGAATCTGTGGGTGGATGGTAAGACTTTATCCTGACCAAGACAAACGGAGATGCAATTACAAACTTACAACCTGTGCTCTCCTCTCTCCAGCTATGGGAAGGAGCATAGCCATGCTGAGGCTGAGAATGAAATCCACTTTCTTGTCTCTTTTTCTTCTAAATATCTCTGAATCGCTGAGAGGGCTGGTTAATTGCGCAGCCTTGTTCAGAGAGGTGCCCGTGACTCTCTTGTGTCCTTCACACGCAGCATGAGCCAGTGTCCTAGATGAGAGGAGAACAATGCCAAGCCCTTCTGTGGGAGACTGGCATTGCCAGAGGCTCTCTGAACATGCCACCAGCCTCAGTGCATGTCTTTCCTAATTCCTCTTGAGGCTTGATTTGTAGAGGCTTCCTCTCTCTTACATTCTTTTCTTTGCAAGACTTTAATGCAGTTGCCCTTGATCTCAGAAAATGAGAGAAAAATCAGGTGAATACTTTCAACGTCGTGCAATGCTGGAAAGCACAGATGATTTATTATTGTGTATACTTCTTACACAGGTTATATGTTGGCTTTTCTGTTGCGCACAGCACAGCCAGGAGATGATGGATAAGAATTATTTTCTTTTCTAATGAATTCATGCTCCTTAGGAGGAGGGAGAATAAAACTGATACATTATGAGCACAGTATCTGTAGTTGCACGTATGTTGCTCTGAAAGTAATGCCTCCTATTTATTTCCCTGGAAAGCACAATAGGTACAAAGAGCACAATAACTGTATTTGATAGAGAAAATCCTGAGCAGCAAAACACTGTTTTACAGCATAGCCATCATCAGTACGTATGTATTTTCACCAGTGATAAACAAGAGCCTGAATTTCACACGCATAAAAATCTGCATCAGCGGAGGTCACCCTTTGTTAGCACTGCAGATATGCACCACCCACCACCTTACCATGCTCACATCCACTGTTTGATCTCCACAAATGTTCAGCAAGCACTGATGAATATCAATGGGCACAATTTTTTCAGCATGGAGGAATTCAGTGACATGTCTTTTTTTCATATATACTTCATGTCACATGCCATTTTGTCAGACTTGCCCCTCTGCTGCCATCTGTTGCACAGCAGCAAAATGTAATGGAATATTGGTGGGAAGGTTCAACCCCAACTGCTATACCACCAACATAACAAAATAGGAGATATTACTTTTGGACCAGCCATTGTATACACAGTTCTGTAAGTAACTTTACACATCAACAAATTTTTCTAGTACTTGAGAATTGTTTAACCTGCTTTAAATGTCTGAGAGAGATGTTTGTTGTGGTGTTGGAGGATGAAGAGTGCTTTTGTATGGTAGCTAGAGAAAATCACATTACATCTATTATGTAAATACTATGAAATCCAATTAGAGGAAAGATATTGGGAGGGGAAATATTAAGAATTTCCTTTCTCAGAAAACAGGTAAAACTCTTCATCAAGGATCTTCTATTCCAGTGAAACTCTCTCTGATTAGTTTAATTCTGGAATAATGAGTCTTTGCCTCATTTCTAAATCACAGTAATGACGATACTGTAGAGACTACAGAAGAATGTACTAAGTATTTCATAGAAAGTCCTTTCTAAAACTTTGCTATGAGCTCAGAGTAGGAATGTATTTTTCAGTGTAATGTTTTTCTTGAAAATTAATATGTTTCAGCTTTGCATTCAGAGGATTCTGTTGCTTCAATATAAAAAATCCTCACTGGAGAATAAAACCTCTCTATAATCAGTTTCTAGTAATCCCTTGTTAGGTGTTGTTATGCCAACACTGAACTCAACTGGCTACTCTGCCTCATACTTAATGCCAACATGCAGAGAACCATGTATAAAGCCTTCGTGTTAGGCAATATTTTTGTAAATACATCAGATGACAGTTGATATCACAAGTAGGAAATCACATTCCTGAATTTCACAGTTGGTTGAGGCAGTTGGGCTGTTTCAGCTTGGAGAAGAGAAGGCTCTGGGGAGACCTCAGTGCAGTCTTTTCAGTACATGAAAGGAGCTTACAAGCAGGACTGGGACTGTGTGGGTTTGAAGGTCTCTGCTTGCTAATGCAAGACAGAGTAGAACTTCCTTCTTTTACTGGGCCTAATTATTTGGCAAATACTCTTGTACTAATTTGCAGAGAGGAAGATGTGTTATGCCTGAGATCTGCTTGTTTGCACAATTGCTTTCACTAACATATGTCTAAAATATTTATACTTGCTTATACTAACAACAGGAAGTCAAATCCTCCCTTTGGAAAGCTCTGAGGTCTAGGAGTCAGTGTGAACAAGTATGAGGCACCTTCTCTGTGTTAAAAGTCCAGCCTTATGGACCCCATGTTTTGTACAACTGCTTTCTGATTTCCCAATTGGAGTTATATAACTATATACATGTGCATACAGGTAGTGGCTGGATATTTCTTAAGGTTAAACAAAAATAACCATACAAAATAAAGAAGGCAAAATAATGCTATAGAAAAATCCCATCTACTGGTCCCCAGGGACTGAAATATAAAAATTGTCTAAAATATTAAGGGGATAATAATTTTTTTTTTTTTTTTTTTTTTTTCCTCCTTCTAATTACTAAGATCTTTTTACAAATTCTATCTACAGAGCACTGATTCACAGCACTATTGACTAGGAAAGGAATCTTTTGCATCACAGTGACCATTCTGTAGGCATAAGGGATTAATAAATTTTTGGTGAGTAATAAATCACTTTCAGATGGGAATGTGTGGATTTGTAACTGCTTACATTCTAATTAGAGAGTCATTTAGATTCAATGACTGCATACAATTGTGGTGTTCCCTTATCTAATTTCTCAGACCTATGCTTTAGATTGTACCTGAAACTGCACCTCCTACATTAAACATAATTATAAATCCCACCATTAATGTATTTCCCATGGAATTTACAAGGTATCTCAGGGGAATGCTACAAATCCTTTAAGTAAAAAATACCACAATGCAATAAATAGCTATTTTTAATGGCATTTAGTATTTCCCCAAGATGTAATGTCTCACAGGACCTGAATCCAGCAGAGACTCTGATTAGCCCTAAATACTTTACAAATCTGCTTCCACAAGTTGTGTGTCACTCTTTCCCCAGAGACATTTGAGATTGTTCTTTTCTTAGCATAGTGGCTTCACTCAAAAGACTCTTCCATTTGGTTTATCAGGAGGTCGTGGGAGAGTTTTCTGACTCTTTTCTAGCCTGTTCAGACAGTGAGTTGAATAATCGCCATTGGTGTGCTAACTTTCAGAAAAGTTTAGGTTAATATTTATCTTTGGTTGTGATACTATTCCTTTTTATTGTAATCACTTAATCTAACTTTCTGCTATTTCTCTCAAATTTCAGACTAATGATACAATCTTCTATTGTGTACTTATTGCCTGGGCACAAGCAGGATCTATGACAAATACTACTCCAGAAAACTTCTTAGCAATACTTAATTCTTGTTTAGAAAGAGTAAACACACTCGGAGACGTATGAGTCACTTATGAGAAGATACATAGTTTTAAAAGCACTTGAAAGAGTTGGAAATCACTGAGGTAACAGAGATAAAAAATATATCTCCAGTTTTTGGTATCGTCTAAACATCATAGCTGCATTATAACTAAGTTATATGTCACAAACAAACTGATGGATAACAGAATAAGCGAAAAACTCCAGTCACAGCAAGAGGGGAATACAGAACTGAGGATGTTAATTCATCATTCAGTGCTGTTTAATGACTCATATTTCACCCCATGATACTTAATCACAATGAAATGCTGCAAAGATGCACTGAAAAAAGTGGGATAATAGCTGACTCCCAGTGAATTTTCAGGTTGTTTTACTGGAAGTCAATCATAAATATTGCATAAAAAATGTAAAAAATGATAACAATCTAAGTTTCTCTAGTGATGATTATTGAAGCTATACAAAAACATTAAGTATGCTTTTAGATTTCCAGGTTTCAGTCTCTTGTGAAATACTTTTGCACATCTGACAAACTTCTTGAGTGTCAAGTACAACCTCATGTTTCTGTATTCCTTTTCAAAATATCACTGTGTTGATTATCAGCATGGAGTCTACAGTGCAGAAAAGAATGAAGGGATAGTATGGCAGAGAACACTTTTTCATTCTTTGAAGGAAAGAAGAAAGACATTCTGTTAACAATGGATCTCTCCACACACAAGGCAAAATGTTCTTATACTATTGTGGATTCAAAAAGTTTGTGGATTTTTCATCACTTGCATGATGACTACAATAAATAATCATGGAACTGGCCCAGAAATTTAACGTATTTCATTTTAGAAGCAATTACCAATGGATCATAACCAAAAATGGCAATATTGCTGACAAAAGTGTATCAGTAGTGCTTTTTGGAGGAGTGGAGAAGAAGAGGAAGTGCCCTTTCTACTTTCTTGAGAAATGAAGGTTAAATAAAGATGTTGGAGGAAACAATTTAAGTGTTATATAAGCTATATTAATATTTAAATGGTACTTCTATACTTCAAAGGGTTTTTATCTTGTTGACTGTCACTGAACTTCCAAGAATCTCTTTTTCATATATTTAATGTTTTGGGTGGATGGGTAATTTGGCAAATCACAAGATATGGATTAAGGCAAAATCCTCACAGGGGTATTGACATTAAATTAAATACTTGGGAGTTAACATAGGTGTCAGACAATAAGCTGGAAACTTGTAATAAAGAATCAAGATAAAATCTTACAAATGTTTAACATTATGCTTGTTCCCACATGTAAGCAATGTTACTGCAATTATTAGAAAAACTTCAGTGACTGCACCTGCATGTTTTTTCAAAAATGGACCTTAATTTTTTTCAAGTTTCAGGAAGGTAGAAAAAACAACCATATCTACAGAAAATTTGAAAGGGAGCTACAAAATCTGAAAACAAATCTAAATAGATGCTGGATATTTTTTTACTAATTGGTGGAGTTGTTCAGCGTTGGAAAGCATCATTTTTTCTTATTAAAAATTAATTCTATTTATTACTTTGAAATATAAAGCAAGTTAAATGAATAAATATGCAGAACTTTAAACTTTGAATTATTTACTATGAGAAGTCCTTAGGAGGTACTGGAGCAGTTGCTGTTTGAAGGTTCAGTTCACTCAGATAATAAGAGCTTCTGGTGGTTTGGTAGATATTTGGAGGAAAATAAAACTGGCAACAGGCTTGAAGATATTTTTCTGTCTTCAGGCTGCTAGAAATGTGGCACATTTATTTAGAAAGAAGGGAGGGATAGGGAGACAGTTTAAAAGAAAAAAATATAGTAGATAAACTAATGCTCCATTTTCAGCATCTCTCAGCTTGAAATACAATGAAGCACATAATGTCCCTGTAGCTACAGCAGGCTTCCTCATAAATACTGGTGACATGCTGAATCTTTTAAGAAAAGGGATGGAAGTCATTAGACTTCTCATTAATGGCATGGCTCTTGGATAAGAGACCTAATGACTGCTGAAGCATGAAAAGACACCCTAGCAACTGCTGATCTTCTGAAGGTTTCTTCCTCCCCTGCTATTTCCATTGGACCTTTTCTTTATAAACAGAGAGGAACTTGAAGTATAAGATGTAGACTGGTGACGTGAAAGATGTAGGACCTAAGCTGCAGCTTCTCACTGATAGTTTTCAGATCTCATTCAGTAACATGAAGGTTTTTTTTGCGTGTGCAGTCCTATAGATGCTACAAAGCATGGAAACCAGAGTGCTTTAAAAATTGTTTCTACAGTCTTTGATTTAAATCAGTTTTTCTGATGTCTGTGACAGATGGTGAAAACTGAGATAACACCACAACTGCGTGAGGCAGAAGTAAATGTAAATTTAAAATGACTTAAAGTGCTTGCAAAGATTAATTACAGTATAGAGATATGCATGCCATAGCTGGCACAGTCTCTCTATATCATACGTAAGTATATTTGATTATATAAGTTCAAAAATAGCTTTTATGCAGTGACTAAGATGCCTTTTTATTTTTGATATGCTTTAACTTTCATAAATTCCTTTGATGTAAACCAAACTCTACTTTCTGTGTATCAGCCGTATGACTTATTTGGATATTTTGTTGTAAAATGTAAGAAAGAATATTCTGCTTCAGCTGTACTTTAACAACCTGGATCATTCTTTATGTGCTTGCTTACAAATAACATCAATGCCACAGCAGGATGAAGAGTTAGTACATTTTAGCAAGAAACAGGGACACCATTTTCCCACTTTCTGCATTAAAAAAAAGCAGGTAGGTTGCCTAGGAGAGGACTGCAGGTACAAAATATTTTATGGTAATGAAGGTTATGAATTTGCAATAAATCAGATGTTCTAGGATTACTATTTAGTCATGCTCTCCTTCCTAAATGTAGTGCAACTTATTGCATTAGAAAGAAGGCAGTGACAGATACATAGAATAAGTCCTGTGAAAGGAAAAGAAGGATCACTGCTTACCAATTAACAGCTTTCTATTTGAAAGGAAAACATCTATTTTGAAGACACTAGGTATGGAAACACTAATAACAGTCTGAAGCGGTAGAAGGACATAAAATCTTTGGGAATAGCCAGGATGTTAACTTAGAAAAGCAACTGCCTTGCTCTTAGTTTCTGTTTTCTGTTGTTCCTGCATGGTCAGCTTCCTGGTACCCTTACCTCTAAGAAATAGGCCAAAGGGTGGCATTATCTAAATTAAAAAGAATCTTGTTTATATGTTTATTTATATGATCCAATGTTGCTTCTTGGCCAGAGCTCCTTTGCATTGTGAGTAGTGTTAGCCATTATTCTCTGGAGAGTGGTATCTGAAATTTCTGGGCTTGGGAAGGGGAAAAGGAGGTTATTTACCCTAACAGTTATCAGTCTAGAGCATGGGAGAACTGGGAGATAATCTCCAGGATCTGTCCTAGTGGTACATTTTTTGAAATGTACAAATATCTGCTGTTGTCCCAAATTTTCCTCAGAGACCATTCTTATTGTTGGGATTTCAAAGAACATAAGGTCAGTGTCCTTACAGGGGAAAGTTGAGTAAGCTGTACTTTTTTTTCTTCTACCATAATTGCTAAATTATTACTTGCAGACAGTTATATTTTTGGAGCAGGTTCAGAAAAAAAAGTAATAGTAGAATGATAGAGGTCACAGTGTAGCAAGGCAGCTTTCTATTTACTTTTCAGGATAGTACCTAAATGTGAGTTTTCTGTGTTTTTCCTATGTATACTACAATTCACAAGTTATTTTGCTTCCTGAGAGATAACAATTTGTTTATCAGTTGATGCATCAGGAATTAGCGTGATCTTTTTTTTTTCATGCATTTAGAGGGCTACTGCTTATTTTTTTATGAACATATTATTAAAATTGCTAAAAATATATATTGCATTAATCTGATCTACCATTTCATGCAAAATGACACATATTTTACAGCTAATTGGTTTTATTTAAGTTTAAGAGTTCACATTGTCTTGCACCTAGTGATGTGCACCTTTTTCTTCCCTCTTCTTTCTTTGCAGAAAAAATCAAGTGTTTCCTCAACCTTCAGGATGAAGATTAAAGACCCTTAGCCTGTATATTTAGACACGCAGTCATTTTAGTGCAAATATAGGTGCCAAACAAGGATGCAGAAAGCATATTAACTATAATATGCTCTATCTTGCTATTAAAACAGCTATCTTGTTGGCTCAGGGAACAGGGCTTTGTTTAGCATTCCTCTACCACACTGTATGGCATACATGCTAAGCATGTTTATCATAAGCACAAACAAATTAACTCCTACAGGAAACACAGCACAATTGATTCTGAAAGTCACCTACAGAGATAACCTAGTCAAATACCTCTGGTCAAAGCAGAATCATCTAAAGCTGGTTGCCCTGGACCACGTCCATTTGAATTTTGACTGTTGTTAGAGTCTCCAAAGCCTGGCCAGCATGTTCTGATGTTCAACCGCCCTTACCACAACTTGAAAAGTGTTTTGTTCTAATGTTTCAACAGAACTTCCTATATTTATTTGTACCTAATACCTCTTGTTCTAACAATGGATATCAATGAAAAGAATCTGTGTCTATCTTCTTTACTTCCTACAAGGTATTTACAAAAACTGATAGCATTCCCCTGTATGTTCTCTTCTCCATGCTGAACTGTCCCAAATCTCTCAGCCTTCCCTTACTGGAAAGATATTCCAAGAACTTTATTATCTTTGAGGTCATTTGCTGCTTTTACTTCAACATATCAATTTCTTTCTTCTGCTGGGCAACTCAGAACTAAACCAAATGTGACTCTATTGCGTGCATCATACAGATAACTTCTTAGATTTTGCGTTCCCTTAAATCAATCATACAAGCTTCCTCCTTGTCCATGAAGGCGCACTTTTTCTGATGAGCAAAGAGCTCTTTCTTTCCATGTAGGACTTTGTATTGGTATTGTTGTACTGGACTCTAAATCAGAATGCAATAGCTATCTGAAGGAAAACGTTGCCTTTGTGGTCTGAAAAACAATGGGAGCAAACTTGAAACACTGCCCTGAATCATCGCTCATCAGTAGTCAAACTGATAAGGAAAATAGTTAAATAGAAAGGGAGTGGGGTGAGGGGAGACTAGACAGAACAGATAATTTTGATATCTCAGAATCATTTTACTGAACAGCAATGATGGAAGTGAGTCATTTGCTCACTATGACTCAAGGACGTTTCATATAAAATCAAGGTCTGTAATCTCTCTGCCTAGTGTAAATTATATTTGAATAGCAATAGGAAGACAAATGCTATTTATAAAAATGAGTGAAATCAGCTGCTGATTGGATAGTAAAAAAAAAATAATCTAAGTTGGAGATAAATCTTTGCAAACTTACACAGCTTAGAAGAAATGCATTTCAGCTTGATGTCAAGGAAGGCCATGTACAGTATGAGCAATACATACTATACGTCTGTTTACCTATAGCTTTTTTCCTGGGTTGTATCTTGTTAGTAAATAGGAAAAGTAGTTTTTACTCATTTTCAATAGAGTTAGAGAACTCAGCTAAACTCCTTGAGTGTGGATGATCCTATTGATTCTCATTGCAGGAATTTTCACAAAGACAGAAAAATCGTGCAGTGGAATTGTCTTTCCTCAATTAGGTGAAAAATATATTGCATAGATGCAAAGTTACTGCTGTGCTGGTGGTAACATGGCATCACTCAGGATATTTCTAGGAGCGCAATTAAGTTCTTGCAAATTCTTGCACTTTGGTTTTGACATTTAGACCTTTTCAATGTAAGATTACAGAAATTGTGCCTGGCTGCAGTGTCTCATTTACTCATTACTGCCACTGTGGATGTGTTGGACAAAATTTGGCAACCTGACCCCAACTTCTCCTTACTTAATTGAATGGTAGAAAAACAACCAGGCAGAAAATGTGGTGGAATTTTCCTTCTTTTTCTTCATCCCATACTGGCTTATCACACAGATTATATAATTTTGTCCAATCACCTTTTACATAGAGGCTAATAAACAGCACCACCCATGTTCATTAATCTAAAATATGGCCTAGAGTAGGTGAATTTTCATTAATCCTCAAATAAAGTATATTAAATTTGTAAATTGACAACTTTATGCTAGTTGATCAAATAGCAAAATATATTCTTGTATGTCTACATAGAAAGTTATGAAAAAATGCAAGTGAAATCATCCTCTGCTCATCACTTCTTCCTTCCCTCTTTAGAATAAAAGCCCCACAGTCCACAAAGATGATTTTGCCTCTGATTATGTGGGATCAGAGTGAAAAAGTAACTGTGTTACTTCTACAGAATACTGCTTTTCTCATGTGATATCTTCAGGAAATTTTCTTCTCAAAAATTCCTTCTGTGACTGATCATGGTAAATGTAAATGAAACAATTTTTTCTTCTGCTATACTTTATTACAGAGTTAAAGGGACTGTGCACGGTTCAGTGTGTAAAGACTAGCAGCCTCAATAAACATATAACTGTTATTCTGGTGTCAAAACCTTTCCATTGTATCAGCAATATAGTTGTTGCTTTCAGGAAAAAAAAAAAAAAAGAAAGAAGGAAAAAAAGACAAAAAGAAAGAAAAAAAGAGACGTGTGAGAGTTTTTGAAGTCTGTCATAATCTTCATGTTTTTTGTTTTTTTTTTCTGAACTTATTTTTGTACCTATTTTTCATTGCAGTTTTATCTTGGATGTATGTCTTAAATGAACTGTCCACAGCAAAAAGTTTTCCCCTCTACTAGTGGAAAAAGCCAGGAGAGAAAAATAAACCTGACTGGAAAAAATGATATGTTATTGTCTGGATGTACTTAAGAAACTGTGTGACAGGATTGCAGCTGTCCCCTGCTGTGGCCTGTCCTATTTCTAGTCATTACTATTTGATGCTTTCAGCACCAATAATCACCACTTGGCCTCTCTAAGAATGGTCATATTTGAGAGAGTCCAGGTGAGGATAGCTTAACAGTGCACTGGCAAGTCTTACTGCTATGTTTTCTTGCAGAAGTGAGTATAGTGGCACAGCCTAATGGTGTTTTGGTTGTCATTGTAATGATGTTTTTTGCCCAAAATGATTCATCAGAAACAGATCAAAAGAGGGAAAGGAAGAACTTTTTCCAGAACTGTTACGTTCTGCAGTGCTTCCACAATAGATAAAGGCTTTTTTTCCTAAGGACTTGTCTGGTAACAAAAGCTTTTGTTACTTTATGAGAGTTTAAAGGTAAAATTGATTCTAACAATTTCCCATCTCTCATTAGCACAATGAAGAGTTGTTTGTACATATAATTGGTCTTGCTATTATTGTCGACAAAGATAAAAAAGCCAACACGTATCTCCAGATGCAACAAATAAAGAAGCTGATATCCTTATTAGTGTTGCACCAAGCACCCCTAAAGGACACAGTGAGCAGAGAGGCAAACTGGACTCGTTTTGAACAAATTGTTCTTAAAGAGAACAAATAGTAAATGTATAACTGTCCTTTACATACAGAAGGTAATACTTCTTGAATTGGCAAGGTTTGGATTTTTTATTATGACCAGATACGGAATTTTCTGTTATGGGGTAGCCACAAACAGTCTGGCACCAGCATAGCTTTTGCTTATCTTAAAAAAATAAAAAAAAAAGAAAAGAGTGATAGCTAATTAATTTTTAAGCTAACTAATTTATGACTTCATTAAAATCTGACCAGCTTTAAGATTGCAAATCATGATCCAGCTTAAAATGGGCATAGTTATTTTGCAGATTAACTTGGTTCAGTTTTCACATTCAAGTAGGTGGAAGATTTTCCCCTAGCTTAGT